AAGATACAAAAATAAAGAGGGAGAACAAGAGCATGTGAGAATAATATAGAATGAGAGAGATAAAGTGTGTGTCGAGAGATATGATGAGTGAGGGAGCGAGGGAGGGAGTGATGGGATGGGATAGGATGGGATGGGATGGGATGGGATGGGATGGGGGGGGGGTCGGCGGCGGCGGCGGCGGCGGGCTAAGCCGCAGGCATTATCGCTCAAGATCGCAGAGACGAGCGAGAGCCACCACTACTCTACCTTTCCAGAACTCGGCATACCCCTGACCTTAGCGAGTCCTCGAGCCGTCATTGCATTTTTTTGCGTAACGCATTTTGTAAATATATATACGAGTACATTCGAAATATATCTCTTGCACGTATTCGAGTGAATATATAACAGTTTCTTCTTTTAATGTTAATAAAATTCTGATTTGCGATCGTTAAACTTATTTTGTATTGTATTTGTGTTGAGGGAAATGATGCTACTTAACATAATTCTTATAACCTAACCGCTATAATAGTTTCTTGACTGTATAATTTTTTTAATACAAGATATCAGGACTTTCATGAGATACTTTTATTATTATATATTTTTAACAATTTTTTCTCTTGATACCGTGCTAACGCTCGTTTTTCAAAGGATTATCTATCTCATTCATTTATTTATCATTTAAAAGCCTTTTACGTCAATGATATATCAATCACTATTTTCTTTAATATAGTATTTTCTATAAAGTATTTAATAATCCTATTAATTTATTTTGTATACTTTATTTAATATTACAGTGGATAAATTATTTTATCTATGAATGTTTCTGTTACTTTATAAATGTATAAATGTACATCATATGAAATCATTATTTTTCATATATCTTTTTACCAAATGAAGATAAATATGTGCTTCCATAAAGTCTCCGGGTCACTCGTTAATGTGATTAATTATGAATTAGGAGATAATTAATAAGTTGAAATTAAAACAAACAGTCAAAGTTCTTTCATGCCGTGGTTACTAACTAGTGATAAAAAGTAACTCGGTGAATGTGGTATGAGTGTCAGCAAGGCAGCTCAAAGCATATATGCATTTGACAAAATATTACAAGGCAATGAATTAAATTATATACATTTATATAAATTTTG